GTGGGCCCCGATCTGTCGGACGCCCAATTTGGTTTTCGGGCGGGGCGTTCGACAGTCGACGCCGTGTTGCGCCTGAGGGCCGTGACCGAAGAGGCCGTGAGCTGTGGCGGCGTGCTGTTGGCGGTGTCATTGGACATCGCCAACGCATTCAATAGTCTGCCATTCAGCTGCATCAGGGAAGCACTCCACTATCATGGGGTGCCAAAGTACCTGAGGCGGCTAGTGGCAGACTATTTAGAGGAGCGTACCGTCGTGTACGAGGACCGAGAAGGTAATTTGAGGTGTCGGCCCATGTCGTGCGGTGTTCCACAGGGGTCTGTTCTTGGACCCCTCTTGTGGAACATAGGGTACGACTGGGCCCTTCGCGCCGATTTCCCCCCCGGGCTGGGTGTAATCTGTTACGCAGACGATACCCTCGTGACAGCCCGGGGGGCAAACTTCCAAGAGGCGGCGCGCCTGGCCACAGGGGGAGTTTCCCTGGTGGTCGGGCGCATTGAGGCGCTGGGCTGACGGGTGGCCCTAGATAAGACGGAGGCCCTGTTATTCCATGGGCCCCGTCGTGGTCCACCCCCTGGCGCCTCAATCGTGGTCAACTCGGTCCTCGTACCGGTTCGGGCCCAGATGAAATATCTGGGCCTGATCCTCGACGGGAGGTGGCTCTTCGACGAGCACTTCCGACAGCTTGCTCCAAAGCTGGTCGGCGCTGCGTCTGCCCTAGGGCGACTCTTGCCCAATATGGGTGGACCCAGCGACGCGACAAGACGGCTGTACACGGGGGTTGTCCGGTCAATGGCGCTGTACGGTGCACCGGTGTGGGCGGCGGCTCTGACCGCCCAGAATAGGGTACGCCTCTGGCGTCCTCAGAGGGTAATGGCGGTCAGAGCCATACGCGGTTACCGCACCGTTTCTACGGAGGTGGCATGCGCGTTGGCCGGAACTCCCCCGTGGGATTTGGAGGCGGAAGTGCTCGCCGAAGTTTATCGGCGAGTGGCTGACTCCCGGGCGGAGAGCGGATTTCGCCCTCCGCCCGAGGATGTGCGCGAGTGGCGCAAAGCCGCTCGCCGAGCCACGATGGCTCGTTGGTCGTTCCGGCTGGAGACTCCACGCGCTGGCTTCGCCGCCGTGGAGGCTCTCCAGCCGGTCATCGCCGAGTGGGCAGGGCGGCAGCACGGGACCCTTTCCTTCCGGCTGACGCAGGTGCTTTCCGGGCACGGTTGCTTCGGAAAGTACCTGCACACGGTCGCTAGGAGGGAACTGAGTCCCGCCTGCCACCACTGCGACTGCAGTGAGGACTCGGCCCAGCACACGCTGGCGGTCTGCCCCGCATGGGCGGCGCAGCGCCGGGCCCTCACTGCAGTCATCGGAGTGGATCTCTCGCTACCGGCCGTAGTACGCTCCATGGCCGGTAGCGACAGTTGTTTTACCGCGGTCGCAACCGTCTGCGAGGTAGTAATCTCGCGGAAGGAGGCGGCGGAGAGGGCCCGGGAGGACGACCTCCACTCGGACCCGATCCGCCGCCGGCGAACCGGGCGGCGGAGGCCCGCCTACCACAGCCTCATGCCGCCCTGAGTGTGGCCGCGGGTGGACGGGGTGGGTTTCCCCTCCACCCGCATTAGTTTGACCAGCCGCGAGGGGGCGGCGTCCGCGTGTGCCGGACGTCGCCTAAAGAGAGGAACACCATTGAGACGGAGCCCGCACCAGGAGCGGGCTGGCGCTAGGAGGGGTCCGGATGTCTTAACAACAGCTGTTCCCGGATCCCTCCTGTTACATGCGCAGAGTGGCACACCGTGTGGTTTTAGTCGGTCCGAGCCCGACACACCACCCCGCCGCAAACCCCGGAGGGGTGACGGTCCGAGGGGATTTCCACACGTTAAAAAAAAAAAAAAAAAAAAAGGGTTTGTTTCAAGTTTTCCTTCTCTTTGCAATGCTGTTATCCTGCGTAGTTTACTCCTTTAGCCGTCTCCTACGTACTATAAAAGATTTTCTATCCGACGATTAAAACATGTATTAAAAAAAAAACATAGAGCAAAACATAATTTATGGCACCAATTTGACGCTATTAAACCATTAACAAACTTTTATAGCCGTTTATTAACTTACTGACACGGTTATTAATATTCAACTACGCTACTTCCACCAGACGTTTACTAAATAATGTTTTATAAACAGCAGTTATTCTAATTACGATATATTACTCGATTAGAAAGTGAAATTAATAGACTTAGTTTTATTAATTGTAGAAGGAGACAAACAACCAGAAGGGTCCCTGATGATAAGTGACTATCTGCAACTCATGAGTTTCAAGTGCAGTACCGTCCTTTGAGGACCTTCTACCTAGAATTACTCAGGAAAGAATGAGTTCTTTACACTTGATCCTGCACCTTGTAGGTGGTGGGTCGTAGACAAATACCGTCTTGATCAGAAGGTCAATTCTTGTAATAAAAGTTCGGTCACAATTCAGTTCCGATCAACTATCGATCTCAAAACAAAAAGGTATTTTTTTAGTCGAGTATTAAGCATCCAACGTTGACTGTAATGTAGTTATATCGTATTTTAATAGAAAATTTAATTCAATTTATCAATTCAACTTAAAAAAAAATTAAGACAACTCCCGCATTAGGAATATATCCTGTGTCGCGGGGGACTTTATAAACATACATGAACCGGACACAAAGAACACCCAGACTCAGAACAACAATTTGTGAATCACACAATGTGTTGTTCCATGTGGGGTTTGAACCCACAACACTCGGCTTAGTAGGAAGCGACGTTGCGACCGCTTAAACCACTACCCCATCCGTGCAGTCGGAAGAGTTGTAGAGTGTGGAGTTTATTACTTTGACACGTTCTGTAGTCTAAACGGCTTGGTTGAGTTTGACTAGTTAGATTCGTTTTAATTGAGAGAGTATTTAAAAAATTTTGAAATTGAAATCGTTTATTTGTAGCTTTAAGTACCTGTATTCACGCAATCTTACTTATTTATTCGTGACGGCCGGGTGGCATAGTGGTTTGTGTAATGGACGGCTACCCCAAAGGTTGCGGATTCGATTCCCGCTCAATTCAAATATTTGTGTGCATAAACATTTAATGTGTGATTTAGTCTGGGTGTTTTATGTATAATATGTATGTATTTTCAAAAAAAAAAGTAAATATTAGTTTGGGACTAGATGACGTTGTGTTAATGCGGTTGCATATTATTATTGTTATTGCCATTTTTTTTCAATAATTAGATTCACTGTAGAATAGTTTAGTTTTCATTTACCATTTTAGCTAAACAAAGGTAAACATACGTTTTAAATTATCTCAGGGTTTTAATTACCAACGCATTTATACACAATTATATCAAAGTCTGTGTAAATTGTTGTATACAAAGTTCTATAGGGGATTCATTTGCATGCATTATCTACCCCTATTACAGGGCATTTATATTGCCAGCCCTTGTATATTGTGAAGTCTCGCCTCACACCAGGGCCTCCCTCACCTACAAATCGACTTATACGTGAGGGTGCAAAAATAAATGGTGTAATGTTACGTTTATTTTCATCCCTTAGTACAATTTAAATTGCAGTGCTATTTTATCGCGTGTTTAATTTTAATGGTACCAAGGACAAAGCCATAATTTGTCTTTTAAACTCCGCTTTTAAATATATATATGCCATTTTGATGAGAACACCCAAATACTTCGAAATATTTTATTCCGAATTTTGATGTTCCGATTCTTAAAAGTCCGAATTTCATAATACCTTAGAATTATAATGTCTATTATTAAAATTCACAAAATTTATTTTACGGAAAGTCGTATATGCTATTTGTTTGTTTTCCGATTTATAAACATTCTAAGAATCAAATGCTCGATGGGTTCTCAGTCCGTAAAACGATGTTCCGATTTTGAATACTTCGAATAAATTGCTAAAATAACGATTTTAATTCTGATTCAATTAGTATAAAATTCCTCGTACATATTTAAAATCTAAAAGTAACGTTTAATGTAATTTAAAAACGTCTACTTTGTTACTGTTACTGTGTTTTTTTGTGTTTCCTTCTTCTTCTTATACTTGCGTCGCATATCATCTACTGTTATTAAATTATTTGGATTAGGGAACAGTGGCGATTAACGCCAGATACTCTCTGTAATTGGTGAATCATTTGGGTTAGGTTAGAACTGCGACCATTAAAGCTGCCACCGAGCGCCAAATCCGCTCTGTTGTTGGTGACTGGTGAATTTTAGATGTTTCGAATTATCATTAAGTCGGACTTTTTGTTATTAGATCTATTGAAACTCGGTATTTTGAGCATAGTTATTATAAATTTTAGGAATATATAAATATTTGAATAATAAAAATAGGATTAATATACGGTTATTATTATATTAGTATACGGAATTATGAAGAAATCGGAATTATAAAAATCGGTATTTTGAAATTCGTATTTGTGACTGAAGGAATAAAGATTTTCGTTTTTCTGTAGTGTACAAACTCACTTACGAGACCTCTTTTTTTTCTGTGCGGAAATCCCCTCAGATGGCACTCACCGGACGGTGATTATGTCCCTGAAAAACTGCCCGCCGTCTCAGATACCAGTAGCCGGGAACCAGGTGTACCTGGGAAGGTAATCCCTGGTACAATAGATGACCCCCTCGTGTGTGGGAACTACCGTGTTCTGGTTCTACGTCCGGCTTCTGTTAGTGTGACAGATGGCCTCACCTGTCACACCTAGGCCTGCGCTTATGGAAGATAGAGGTCGTTCTGCCACCTCCGGCGTCTGAGTCGTCTGCGGTACCTGACCCGTTCCCGGGAATGGCGGTCGGAGAGAGTTCTAATCTCTCCCGGTCCCACTTACGAGACCTCCTGCATTTCGTAAGTGGGAAATTGTTGATAGGAAATGATGGGAAGAGAAAGCAAAATTGCTTATATTCGTGGTTGGGGACAGACTTTTCTAAATATATTTGCAAAAAATTGATACAAAACAAAATCATTGAAATTTACTTGAAAATTCATAAAATGTGTTCAAACATGTTCACATATACTTTTTATGGTGTAGGATACGAGTACAAACGAGCAGAGTTGTCACCCGATGGTAAGCGACTATCGCCACCCATAGACACTTGCAACCCAAGACGCGCAAGTTCGCCACCCTTTGAGAGCCCTCTAAGAATTAAGGTGGGAGGGGGAGGTATCCTCCGCTAACCTCACATAGTGAGAAACACGAAAGAATCACGATGGTTTAGACTATAACTCGTTAATTAGCAATTTAGCTTAGCTGGAGGGGTTTACGGGAATACTAGTACCTAATTTCGGTTGACAGTAAGACTTAAAAAAATATATCTTTATGGGCCTGACCGCCTCGGCTCTCCCACTTACGGGGGCCTAATAAATTCCCTTAGTCATTCGCTTTTCGCTCATCTATCCCACATGCTCAAATCGTCGCAGTATGAACTTTTTGAAATAAACGCTACTAAGAAGAAAGCCTATTATATTTATTAGTAGACTTTTTCTATATAAAACCTTGTTCGATGGCCAAGTAATGAGCCACTACTATTGAACACATTATCAGTTACGCTGCTACCATTACTGGCACCAATTTTCTGCTACAAATAGGCTCATGAATGAATATTGGATTATAATGGATGACCTGAGTTCAAACTCAAATTCTCTTTATTTCATAAAAAAAATTAAATTGCTTGAAATCGTCTTTTATGTAGACTCTAAACTCATAGATCATCACACACAATAGCAATAATCACTGTTTTGTCAAATACATTAAATAAACATTAAACTTATATAAAATCTATGATATGCCTGTGCCGATCTACAACCGCCCGTTTCCCTTATGAGAAGAAAGGGCAAACAAACTCATGGCCACTCTTTTGCAATTCACAGATAGATACAATGGCATTATTAAATATAACACAACATTGTTTTGATGTGTGCCAGTATGTCCGTTATTAAGGACTAAAAGGTAAAAAGACAATGAAGAGAAAACAAGATTAGGAAAAAAATCGAATAAAAGAGAAAATATTAAGGTGACATTTAGAGGTACTTAGGATTAAGTTATACATAATTTATGACCAAATCCATTTACAATTTTTAAGTATAATTTATTGATATGTAACCGGCACGTGTAATATTTAAAATACTTGAAGTTTGTCTATACTTACACATAAAATTACTTGACCTGAATGTCTGATTCAATAACGCAGAGCCTCAACCGCTGGGACTAAAAACTTGAAATCTTTGCAAAAATTCTTGGAAAGAGATTAAAGAAAGGATTTTTGGACATTTTACGGCTAAGGGATTAAAAAAGGGATAAACGATTGTAGGTATGTTTGTTCGTAATATTTAAAGTTAGAAACACAAATTAATACAAAAACACAAAAGAAATATTCACGCCGGCTATAGCCTCCTTAACCTCCTTTCTAAGGAGAGGCTTATGTCCAGCAGTGGACTGTTACAGGCTGTTGATGATGATGATGATGATGATAGCAAGTATTGTATTAAAAGCTGAAGGAAAATACAATATATATTGTAAACTTTAAGATTACTTGAAAATAGCAACGTCAACCAATAAGCATCCAGTATGAATCTTCATCTGTTGTTGTATGGAAACTTAACAATGGTAGTTTATTTTATACTGGATATTAATAGTCCACCAGGCTGTCGCTAGCATTTAATAGTTTTACTTTTTTGTGTTTTTTATGGTGCAGGGGGATAACAAGCAGACGTTTCATCTGATAGTAAGTGCCATGGATACAACTGCAACTCAAGATTCACTAGTGTATTGCCGTTCTTTGACTCCCCTCCTCCTCCCCAGAATCAGGGTGAGGGGTTTTTTTTTTTGTTGGCTCCAAGCAACGTAAGAACTGCTTAACACCGGCTGCTTTTCTTCGTTTTTTATCACTCCGGTCGAAGGTGCCCAATTGTACCGAAGCTCTCCCATGGGAAGAGAAAAAAGAGATGCAGAAATACCGACTGATCATCATCAAAAACCACTAACCCATAACACGAAATTTTTCTAGATTTCAAAATCCTAACCATAAAATATTTCTTCTCCAGCTGCGGTAGTAGTGGCCTTCTTCGTGTGCTGGGCTCCATTTCACTTCCAACGCCTGTTCTTCATATACGGCACCTCATCTCCGCACTACCACATCATCAATGAATACCTGTTCCACGTTGCTGGAGCGTTCTACTACATCTCTGCTACTGTAAATCCAATTCTGTATAACGTCATGAGTCACAGGTAAGCTGTATTATATTATACTAGCTGACTCAATACTAATAAATTTTCTCCGTTTTTGAAACATTCTTCATTGGTGCTCCGCTCCTATTGGTCTTAGCGTGATGATATATAGCCTATAGCCTTCCTCGATAAATGGGCTATCTAACACTGAAAGAATTTTTCAAATCGGAGCAGTAGTTCCTGAGATTAGCGCGTTCAAACAAACAAACAAACAAACAATCAAACAAACTCTTCAGCTTTAGTATAGATTGTTAGTGTAGTATAGATTGATGGATAGTTGAGAGATTGATGGAAAAAAACGGCAGATGGTACACACATAGACCTATGCCATAGTCCTCGAAGTAACAGTCAGAGAAATTAAACATCCACAGTTAAAGATCAGATGCTCTGAATTTTTGGCAATAACAAGTTTATTGCCATTGCTGCTAAGTGACTAGGGTTTGTTTTAAGATGCCTTCTCTTTGTAGTGATGTTATCCTGCGTAGTTTGCTTCCTAAGTCGACTCTTACGACACCTACGGGACAAAAACTGGTGGTGATACTCCGTATTTTTAGTTCGTCACCACAAAGACCCGTGTTGTGACGGATTAAGAATATGGAGTGTCAACACCACTATTCGTCCCATGGGTGTCGTAAGAGCAGCAGCACTACAAAGAGAAGGAAAACTAAGACAAATCCATCTGACCAGAGGGGTATAGTAGGTCAAATCCTCATTTCTACGGAGAGGCCTGTGTCCAGCAGTGGGCTAAGCGATATCTCTTTCTTCCTTAACATCCCTTTTCTTTCGTTTTTTTTTCTAGATTGTCTGAACCCTTTTTGGTTGTCTTAAAGTTTAAGTCTTAAGTACCTCAGAGTTTTCTGGTATGTCTTAGTTTCTTGTTTCTATTTCTGTTAAGAAAATCAATTTTATAGCAAACATTCAATTTTTTCCCCCAGGTACAGGATTGCGTTCACAGAAACTCTATGCTGCGGTAAAGTGAAATTGAAGAAGAGTAGATACCGTGAGCATTCTAGCGTGAGGGAAACCACTGTGAATCAGACGTCAGATGGGGGCCACCTGGTCAGGGTTCGTTCCGAGATACAGGCAAGGAGAAACAGGTTCGTTAACTTCTTTTTAGATCTTTGGATGGACAAGCGCATTCTATAGATTGTAAGAATAAGGTTTTCAAATCAGTTAATGCATAACAAGATAGCTAGAGTAAGGAATATTATAAGTTCTCGTGGACATGCGGGACTAGATTAAAGCCAGAAGACGCCAGGGTCTCGTAGCCATCCACTGGTCTCATGATCGGAAAGGGCCACTAGGAAAAAATACACCAAACATCCATCCATACAAAGACATCAAAAGTAAAAAAAAAAAAATTGACGACCGGCTGACGTAGTGGTTTGTGTAACGGACTGCTATAGGCTTCGATTCCCACTCAAGTCAAACATTTTTGTGCATGAAAATTTAATGTTTGATGATGATATCAGTTGTCTAGTAGCCATAGCACAAGTTCTGCTTAGTTTGGGACTGGATGGCGTTATGTAAATGTGGTAGAATGTTATTATTATAAAGAACCCCCCCCCCCCTAATAAAGGAGTTGTGGGTTCCAGTTACCTTTCTCACGCGATAAAAGCAACTTATGAAGTGGTTAACTACCCGTTTCTGTAAGGCCGTAATCTCACGCTGTGATAGCATGACTCTCTCACGATAAACTTCTTCTAATTTAGCTTATTAAAATAAAATATGGTATTTTAGGATCGATAGCAGATCTAGAAGACGCAGTTACTACGGGACAGAGACCACCAGTCTCTGCAATGATAAGTGGATGCAAGAAACGCCGAGGAAAGTGAACAGTATTTTGATCAACGGTAAGACCACCCTATGTAACAATAATGAAGCCAACCAACTAATCTACAGCAATTTTAAACTAGGTAATGATGACGTCACTTAGAATAATAATGTTTAAAAGATACAACCTGTATATAATATTTTTACACAGCTAGTTGATATACATGATGATGTTAATTAAACGCAAGTAATTTTTTGTTAGCTTTTGAGCCTTTTTTAATTAAAATACTTAATATGCCAAAATATTTTATCATTATTTAGTTAAAGTAAGACATTTGGTTTTGTACTCATTAAAAACATTAATGCACAAGTAAGTTTCTAAGATAAAAAATAAGATAGCTAAGATTTAATTAAGTTCTTTTTTTTTGTAAAATAAAATTAAAAGATTTGTTACGTATTTGATTAACTTACATAGTGGTTTTTAAGCGTTATATCATTTTCTATATACATAAACATATAAATTAAAAAGTTAAGTTTATATTACAGAATATTTTATTAGTAAGGTTTGGCTACGATTTTGATTAACCATGAAAAAAAATATATATTTAAAAAAAAAAATATGTTAGCTTTATTAAATTGTTTTGAAATGGACACCACGTTTCGTGTCATTAACTACTGTAAATAACTCGGCTCTGTATATCGAGTTTCTCGATAGATTTTAAATGTTAGTTTATTTGTTACCTATTCTCTTCTTAACTACTGAACCGATAATCGTAAGTTTTTTATGGTAAAGATAGCAAACAAGAAGACGGCTTGCAGGAAGTAAATATCGATACCTGCCCTCAGTAGTGGGGGGTTTGGGCCTTGAACAATAAAGGAATTATTTAACAACGTTGTTCTGTGAAGCCATGATGTCACCCCGGTCGAGCTGGCGCATCTGTGCCGAAGCAAGGCTCTCCCATATTTTGTAAACAAATAGTCAAAACAGAAAACTTTATAGAGTACTTTTCGTACAGAAAAAATTGTCCGTTAACGAGGTAAGCCGAGGGTAGGAACTAGTGTAGTATAACATGTGTTACTAAGGAAATGCTGTGTGTTGCTTTTACATTAATCAAGGTCTTTGCAATATTTAATACAAAAGAACTATTCAACAAAGGTTTAATCATGATTTGCAGAATTAATTAAACTGATGAATCTTTGACATTTATATTGTGTATAGTGTTGCCAAACTATTTCTTTTTCTATGTAGGTTTATCAATTGTGTTTTTTCATCAAAATCACGATTTAGTTTTCATGGATTGTTAAGAATTACGGGTAAACGGGTTACTTTTTTTAGAGTGATTACTTTTTGTAAATTTACTATTCCAAATTTATATTTTTTGCTTTTTTACCGACTTAAATAAAGTAGGATTTTTTCGTTTGATTTGTATTTTGGTTCGCTTTTATGTTGTTTATTACCGAACTTTGTCATTTATGAACCGACTTAGATTGGTTTTGACGATGGTATTCTGCCCGTTTTCCATGACTTTTGAAGAAAGAGCCACCTCCAATGTCATGAGATTCAAGGGGTGGGTGTGGCGGTAAGGTACTGTTGAATAAGGGATGGATTAGGGAGTGTTAGGAAAAGCTCGAATTATCATCATCATCAGCCTATCGCAGTCCACTGCTAGATGTATATCTCTCCTATTGATCGATCTATTTTCGATTTCTCACATCAAGAATAGCTCAGATAGCTTGAACGCAACGCATATTTGTAACGCGAACTTACTGTCGCCTGGAAGAAGGGGTGGGAGTTTTTCATAAATATTAACTTATATTTCAAAAAGTACTCAACATTTACGAGTGAATTGTGACCTTGAGACATAGTTCATAAATAAACCAAAGTACACTAAAAAAATTCTTACTTTAGTTAACTTATAAAGGTGTGTTGCCTGTGTCAGCGGAAGCATCTCTTGTCTCCGCTCCTCCTTATTTTGCGGTCTGGTACATTAAACACGGACATATAGCATACATATGTATATATACAATCACGGCGATATCCCTGAAGGGTTAAACAGAGGCGTAAAAAGGACCATATATTGCGACGATAGCAGGTATGTACTTAAGCAATAACTGCGGCAATAACTCACCACGAGTTATTGCCGTTAACCGGGGTATTTTAGGAATTAGATGGGAAAATTCGGAGTTACAATTTGAAAGAAATATAATGTACATTATAGGTGTAGTAATGGATTAAGAATACGGAGTGACACCATTACTATTCATACTGTGGGTGTTGTAAGAGTCGATTAAGAGAGCAAACTATGCAGGACAACAGCGATGCAAAAACTTGAAACAAAACTTCCACCAACCCGTCTGGCCAGCGCAGTACAGTAGGTCACAACCTCCTTTCTTAGGACAGGCCTATGGCCAGCAGTGGACTATTAAATACTGTTGATGATGATTATGAGTTCTTAAGATAAACAGAAATGACTATTGCTTTCCCATCCTATTTCTTTATTACCAACCGGTGAAGGCTTATATCTACGGATGGGTTGTGTAGTGTTAGCTCAATTAAGTCAGGGTTAACTCGTTAACGTAAAATAATCTTAAAACTTTTTATAATAATTTTATGAAATGTTTTTTTATTGATATGTTGTAGACCTTCTACCTATATTTTTATTTTATGACAATAAGAGTTTTTTTGAGAGGTGTGCTATGTGCCAAATATTTTTCGTGGGCAAGCCAAGATATAGACAAGACTAGCTGACCCGCGCAACTTCGTCTGCGTCTCTCAATAGTAATAAGTTTTCTCCGTTTTTGAAACATTCTTCATTGGTGCTCCGCTCCTATTGGTCTTAGCGTGATAATATATAGCCTATAGCCTTCCTCGATAAATGGGCTATCTAACACTGAAATAATTTTTCAAATCGGACTAGTAGTTCCTGTAACAAACAAACAAACTCTTCAGCTTTATAATATTAGTATAGATATGTTGGCTGGCTCGACGTAACTGGAGCCCAAACCCCGTCTCCCCCTGATTCCGGGCAACGCACTTGTGACTCCAGGTGGTAGTGACTTACCATCAGGTGACCCGTCTGCTTATTTGCCCTCCTGTTCTATAAATAAAACATGACTCTTACACTATTCGTCGTCACTTATATTTATAAGAAATGGATAGTCTAGTGATAATTTTTAATAATCGCTACTCGCTGTTAGTGGGACTATAGCTTATGTTACGTTTAATATTTTATGTTGGCTCAGTCTGTGAATTGTAACCGACTTTAAACTTAAAGCTAAATATGTTTTTAGTTGTCTTTTACGCCTAATATTAATTTAAAATAAGATTGGTCATGCATTGTTTGTGACCGCTAAGTAATGTAAATTATACTATATTTATATACAGATACGGTTCTAATTTATAAATGAATAGTTTAAGAGTAAATTCATATTGATTGTATGAATAATGCAAATTAAACTGAATAATTACCATTATGAAAAGTGTTTCATTTTACAATCCCAGGTTTGTTTGTAAGCTTAACATATGTTATTTAAAAAAAACAGTAATGTATATTGTGGGACTAGCTAGACACATAGACTAGATCATTATTATTATGCATTTAGTAGATGCATATTTTAATTGAGTAAAGTTACATTTAGCGACATTTAAACGATGGTCAGGATTCAACATCAGGGTTCGCAGATTGGACTCCATTTTCAATATTTGGAGTGCTTATTTGTATATGTAAAAGTACAAACACGTGTGTAAGTATTTATGCCTCTACGGTCCCTGCATGCCTTTTGTGTTTTCCGCCTGAAGCTACCCAAAAGGCTGGCATTTTCAGCAGTGTTGTCAGTGTACACAACCAATGGCAACAGCTGCAACAGAAAATTATCTGTAAAATCTTCAATGGAGAAGTTAGGGTAATTTTTAAAAACTAGCTTTGTCGGTTAATACGGTAATAGTAGTAGTCTATAGCACTCAGGAATAATATACCTTTCTAACAGTAAAAGCTTTTTCAAAATCGGATCAGTACTACTGGAGATTACCCCGAACATACAAAATCACAAACTTCTCTGTCTAATATTAGTTTAGATTATATCAGTTTAGATTTAATGTACAAAAAAAGTTTTTACTACATTTTGAAATCTTAATTCTGATTTCCTCACGAGATAGTTTCACGAATTCTTTCATTTGAGTCTTTCCAAGTATAATTTTCTTCAAAAATTTAACAACAAACATATGTATATTACACGTCATGAATCTGAATAAACCGAAAGCTCAGGGGAAACACGCCAACAATATTTGCAATGCGTGTTTGGCACAAATAACAAACACGGAGTACGCAGGGGAAATAACATCATACGATATTTGCTAAAGAATTTTCATTATTCCAGAGAACGATGTGAACCTTAGTGATGTGCAGTAGTTATTAAGACTTGGGCCAGGAGCGCCTAAATATATGAATGGAATATTTCTATATTTGTCGCCCGATGGAAGACTGAGTGACTGATCCGGCTGACTGACTGGAAGACTGATCCCAGCGACAGCATTTTATAAAACCCACCACACTCTCGGTTTCGATACCACAATACATAACACGAAATACTGAACTTTTGTTTATGTGAAGGCGATAATGGCTTAGAATGTTTTCATCAGAGCCATGACTATCGACTACGTGATTTAAATGAAAATAACATGGATATATTAGATCTGGCCAGCGTGGTATAGTACGCGAAAACCTCATTTCTAAGGAGAAGCCTATGTCCAGCAGTCGCCTATTAAAGGCTGTTGATGATGATTATAATATCATCATCAGCCTATCGCAGTCCACTGCTGGACATAGGCCTCTCCCATCCTCCTCGATTTTGGGCTTCTCGCATCCAATGATTTTCGACTCAGAATAATGGTCTGAACACACTATTTCAGTATTCGCTACGACGTCCCATACTCTTGCATTTTTTATACACCTTTTCTTTAAAGAAATATGAACTTTTCTTCTAATCTGTGGAACAAATTGTCTTCACCAGTACTGCCGCATTGACGAAACCTTCTAATCTTCAAGATAAGAGCGTACTTCAACCTCGAAGGCTCGAAATGCAATTATGGCATAAGCGGTAGTAGTCAAAATCAGGCGACTCGTCTCAATTACCTCCTATATCATAGAAAACGTTCCAGGTCAA